AGAGCTGCCCGAGCTGATGTGGGCGTCCGGCGAGTTTTGCGGGAGAGTTCGCGCTTGTTGGTGTACCGAGAAGGCGTGTTGTGAATAGAGGGCCCGGGGCAGAAGAATTCTGGAGTTTTTCTCGGAAGGGAAACGCATGACCGCTGTTACCAACAAAGTTATTTAACGAAGCGTTACAGTAATTGTCGTCCACCCGTTGACTACAGCTTACTTCTAACCGTAGGGCTGACGCCGCGCGGCCTAGGGAGACTGCAACGCCTGGCGTCTGGGCTTTTATTGCTAAGATTTGCGAGTGCGCATGTTCAGAGCCACGTTACATGGCTTGTATTGCTAGTTAATCCCGACTGAATAAAGACTGAATGACTTAACACTTCCAGACAAACATGGCTTGGCTTTGTTGATACAATTTGTTGACCTGTTTCGATCTACAATGTGCATTCGCGGGGTCTCTAATATATCTGTAGAACCCAGATAAACATGTTTACGAATCTTCTGAAATCTATCGGCTGAGGAAGAGTTCACCGGACCCTGTTAAGTGGAGAGTGCCGGTGATTTAGTTCCTCCAGACAAAATTTATCTCACGGCAGCTTGACTTCTTTTCCGGTTATATAATTATTTTTTTCCAATATCAAACAAAAAAATGTTTTTGCTAATCAATAGGCGATATCTGGCGATTTTTCGGGGCCCTTTTACTGCCAGGAGTTCCTTTCTCAACCGTGTGCTCTCCCCCCCCCCCCCTCCACTGCCAGGGCTCTGGCTACGCCCCTGGGAACTTTTGTGCGGAAAGGCGAGCTGGCGACCGAGCAGCTGAGCTGTCCTGCGGACACTTGGGTGCAGGGACGGGGGTCAGGGGAAGGTCAGGTCAAAGTCAGGTCTGGCTGGCGAACGCGCGCGACGTGGCGATCAGACCTGCAGCATTTCCACCGCACGGAACAAACAAAGCTTGCGAACGGGCTGGGGATAAAGACAGATGAAAGGGTCCTTTTTCGAACTGGTTGTTAATGGATAGCGAAGAGGTCATACATTCCAGTTCTGAAAGTTGTTCAGTGCGTTTGCGAGGGCCATTATTCACATAGATCAGACAGTGGCAGTTGCATTACTCCTCGGAGAAAAACCAGTAGAATGAAGATATAGATGCGTTGATAGTTTGGCAACCTGCCTTTATCGAGACAAATAGCAGAAGTGAATTCAAAATTGTCTGCAGATGATCCTTCTCTTTTTTGAAGCAGCGAGCCACAATTTTTACGGGACATCAACACTCAGGGGATTAGGCAAGGAGCAATCGCCGGTCACTTCTACGACACCGTGCGCATCTAACTAAGAATTAGAACAAGCGAAAAATGCGTGAGCATGCAAACGAATTCAAGTAAACAGGCACCGCACATCATGCATCAATTATACGTGGAAGCGATTTCAAATAAGCCGACATCGCGCATCACGCGTCAGGCACCACTTACACATATAAACGATTTTAAGCTAGCACACATCACACAGCGAAGCACATATCACGTTTGCAAAATGGGCCTATATGAAGTGATAGGGGCGGTGCCAGGTATCGAACTATGAAGGGATGGCAGAAGATATGTGTTGGCCATTTCTTAAATGGAGTGCTCCATATTTAGAAGGGGTTTTTAAATCACCACCTTGACGGCATTTCGGTGCTGTTCACAATCCTGCCTCTTTTAAGGCCAAACTCTCTGGTTTCTGATCTACACGCCCGTAAAATGGGGAAAGACATCGGGGAAGTATTAAAATCACTTAAGCATTCATGATGTCATAATGACGTCATTCGAATCCTGCCTTCCCCAAGCCACGCGGCGATCAAGGCCAAGAAAAGTAGAACTGTTGAGGCGTTCATAGCTGGTGTTCATGAGTGCAATTTCCAGATAAAATGGTCGCTAATTGGTTCTCGATGAATATTGTGCAAGGTACGGTGACGTAATGAAACAATGGCGCATTGAGGAGCACATTTACTAAACAGAGAATTGTGCTGTCTAGAGCAGTCCTTTCCATTTGATAAGTATACGACTACTTATAAGCAAGCTTGTTTCATCATATCTGATACTTGCTTCCATGTCTTTAAACGTGAAACATTCCCTAACAACAACGAATATTTTTCTAATGCGTTACTAAGACATATGGTCAGAACATTTGATAACAGGTTGGGCAGTGGGTACATACAACACGCGATCTGCTCATTGATGGTGGTCGAGTGGTTCGTAAAGAAGCATTGCCCCACGCGTTGATTAAGCACTTACGTATATCAGCAAGTTCCGAAAACTGCCTGCGTTCCTACGCACATAATTTCAAAGGCAGCGGGCCGCATGAGCAGTGATCTAGCCGTAATAGTGTTTTTTGCCTGTTGTATTAAGTATTTTTAACACCGACTTATTTGCAGCTCAAATGCATGCATAAGGCTGCATTCTATTTCAGGAAGAAGATCCATGTATTCGCTATTGTACACTGTGCGCCGCCACCCATGTGACCGCGCAGCCACGTGATTAGACCACGTGACTTCTATCAGATCGTTGCAGCCGAACTGCCTTTGCCCTCAACTTTTCGGGCCTGAGTTCTATCATGAGAATGTAGCCTTGCTCCACTGGCAACGGTCCCACGAGGTTCTCCTTAGCTAAATTTTTAATACTAATGTTTCCTTAAGTCAGCTTTTTCTATCGCTGTGCGACAAGTGTCCTGGATGAGACAGAGAGGCTGCGAAAATGTTCCGGTGAGTTCACTCATGCCAACGGAATGGTATGCTGGTCGATGGTGTTCCCTGAAATGGACTCGACAGAGAAGAGATATGGACAGAGCATGTCAATCAGCCACGTGACAAAGTGCCCGCGACAGGATGAAAGCGGCCGTGACAGTTCAGATAAGAATGAATTTCCTCCAATAGAACCAACGAATTGCAAAAGAAGGGAGGGAAGAAAGCAGGAGAAATGTTACATTTATGCAACAATTATGCAACAATTACCAGCTTGCCTTGATGAGAATGTGAGGTGTTGATCAATCATGTCAGGAACAAATGTGTACATAACAAAAAAGCCTCGCATGCAGTTTGTCCCACAACAGTGACTTCTCGACGTCATGCTCATAAAAATTCATACCTAGCTGCTCGGCTATCTGTCAGTTCTGCTCAGGTAGACTTGGTGGGAAATTTTAATGAATATTAAAAAGAGACCCGGGAAGTACGCCAAAAGTTATCTGAAGACTGTGAGAGCTTGCAGCAGAAACAGCACGGAGAAAATAGCAGCTGGCAGGTCGCCTGTGCAAAAGTTTTGGACGATACGACGCACCAGCATGCATCAAAGGTCCCGGCAACCACAATTAGCGATTCGCCGTCATTAGTGTTAAGAATATCCGCTCATCATACCTCAGTAGGGTGTAGCAGCCCGTACCGTCCGTGGCGCGTACTCTGCGCCTTGGATGTTAAGGACGCGACTGAACCGTTCAGAATTCCTGCGCAAGGCTTCGTAAAATACTGAATAAACATTACACCCACTTACACCAGAGACGGTTTCAGTCGAGCCCCCTGCCGCGCACCGAACGGATTCATGAGCGCTTGGCAAGCAGCAGCTTAATCAGTCAGCTGTCTTGCTTGAATGCCCATGCGTCCAGCCGTGGGCATCCAAGAGCAGATTGAACCCAAAGATAAGAGAAAGATAAAAAGCACGAGCACTTTGATTCGCCGCGCGTGGGCCTCGACTAGAGGCAGGTGACGCATAAGGAGTCGGACCGACCGATGCTGAGCGAGACAGATGCTGAACAGCGACAAAGACTGCAACATGAGAAGCAGTGAAGTGCCGGCACGGGACACATTGGTGGGCGGGCAGAGGCCGGCGTATTTAGTGTTGGAGAGCTACCCCCACGCTTTGACTGGACGGACTTCTGGGATCAGAGCCCACGCTAAGCGGTGTTTATTGCGTGAGCCGTAAGCCGACCACCCCACCATGCCATGTCGTGCCGACGGCATAATCCTGCGGTGAAAGGTGACGCGCCGTGATGGCCGACAAGGTGCGGTCCGCCCACCGGCGTCACCTGACCTTTTGGACGGGTACTGTCTCTAGTCCCAGTCCTTCCCAGTCGAAGGCGAATGGCAGGCGCTTGGAGCGACTCGGACCCACCCCGCCACCGGTGGGTGAACCTGAAGACATGCGTGCTGACCAACGGAGCCACCGCTGCGGCTTCGGCAGACGCTGTCTTGACTATGCGGGGGAGGCAGAAAGGTGGAGAGGCAGATTGATAGTCACCAACCAACACTCGGATCGGGGCTGGCTTAGGTAAGCATAGACAATCATAGGCAAGTTTACATTTGGCGATACCTTTTTGAATCTACTGCCTCTCAAATCACTGGTCGTTTGCATCCTTCAGCACGTTTGTGAACGCACTACGTATGAAATGGGCACGACAACCTCTCGACGCAAGTACTGTACTTGATCGGCAGGTTTGCGGAGCGCGTGGCACCGTTTCGAGATCCCCACCCCGCCTCCAACCGAATACGACCTTTTAGCACACGCGATACCAGCGAACCCTCCCCACCGTTCGATCCAGCGCTGGGTCATCGGCATCCGATGACGTCGCCTGCCTGAGCTGGCAAGGTCGCCTGCCCCATCGCCATCACCCACGGCCACCCGTCGACAACCTACGGAACCCGTGACAGGAGCGCCAGCTCGCCGGCCGCCGGTGCCTTCTGCCGCGCGCGGCGGCGCTGTCAGCCCCTGCGGCTGCCGATCGCTGATCGAACCGGCCAACCCGCAATCGATCAGAACGTGCGGCGCGGTGACCCCGGCAAGCGGCCGGCAGCGAGCGGCCACGCCCGGGCCGCCACCGGACGCCGCGGGCGCCACCCGAGCCGCAGCGGTCGTTTTTGCTTTCGTCACGTCCCCCCCCCCCTCCGCCTCGTCGGTGGGTCCGGCCGTCGGGCGCTGTTGCCACCCGCCGCCGGCGGCAGAGAGCGGCAGATTGCGCGGGCGGCGGCCGACTACGCGGCATCGATTGAGGCGGCCGGCCGGACGCCATGGCGGCGCCGTCCCCCGGCCAGCGCGGCCGCGAACAGGTGTGCCCGCGCGTCCCCCCGCCGGCGACCAGGTGAGTACGCGACCCTTGCCCCCGCGGCCGCCGCCCGGCCGACGGCCACCGCCTCAGGCGCTCCGTCGCTGCGGCCGCGGCCGGCCACGAACAAAGGGTCTTTGTTGCTGGAGGGGTGAGCGAACTTGGGGTTCATGACTGCTTTACTGAACTGTCATCGATCTGGCCGTATTTCGAGCTCAAGAGGCACGGGCAGCGGAGCTCAGAACTTGGAGGGGTCCTTGTGAGGGACGGTTAACTGCAGTGTCCTTGACATCGACAATGGGACCACAGCCGCGGCTCCGCTGTTCCCTTGATCCACTGCCAGCAAAATAAAAAGGAATGCCACCGAGGAGTGAAGTCACCAAGCGTTTTCCACTGCCGCGTTGCATGGTTATCACCAGTCGACGTTGCAGCGCGGGGTCGCTCTGCGGCGACGTGGCGCGAACGAGCTCGTTGGCGCGATACCGAAAATGCGCCTTGCCACTTGTATTATGCACCAAAATGCACCGCGAGCTGACAAAATAGTGATGCCATTCGATCCCCAATCCTTCGGTGCCTCTTTGGTTTCTTACTTATCAGCCACCGGTCTCACATTCCTGCTCCCAATCTTGATAGGGGGCGGGGCACCGGGGCACACGCTTCCAGCCCCAATCAGTTTTGTTTTTGACAAGCATTCATTTGCATGCGAATAAAGGTAAGCACGGTGATGTTAACATACGGTGTGCAAGAAGCTGTATGCGCCCGTGACCCTCTAAAATTTGTTTGCAGTAAAAAAATTAAGTCACACCCTAGACCCCATTGCAAAATTATGCACAGGCTCCAGCCAACTCTCTTTCAGATGCGAACTTTTTTTGCAAATCAGATAGTGCGCAATTTAAACGGGAGCATCTGTTTCGCAGAAGGTGGGCCTTGGAGTCTCCACCTCATTAAACAGCTCATCGTAATTCATCGGTTTCGTCTTCCATGCAGCATGCAGAAAAGCTCAGAGTTCTTATACTGGCCTATCAACCCTCGACCTAGGGCCATCGACCTCCAACGTGCCATGGGGTAAAGTGCCGAAATACCAGACGCTCAAGGCCTTTCTTGCTTACATCAAGAGGAAGAAAAGGCACACATTTTGTTGGGAAAGCTCGGGCGCGTCAAATAAAAGCGTACGGAAATCCCTAATTTATCCCGTAATGACCACTCAGGATAGCCTGTGCCGTCAGATTACTGACGACTCGCATGTCAGTGGTGGCATGTTCCATGTGCCCTGCGGTCTGAAATATCGATCCGCCGCGTCCCTAGGTGTGCCTGCTGCAGGCCTTACAGGCAGCCCATACCGCGCTCGCCTAAGTCACGCATGCGCAGTAGGGCGCTTCACTTATGAAAAAAATTGAAGTGGAAAGCACACAGCAACCTTTCGATGCACCCGTTGTTCATTCTCAGTGATATCATCTGCCATATTGTCGTAGAAAACGGCATCACACTTCCAATAAAGTGTGCCAATAGTTGTGCTTGAAGCGTAAACACATTTTTTTCATTCATTTTTCCTGTGCGTTGTTCCGTTTCTTCGAACGACTAGTCTTGCCCGTTTCTCCATTGCTCAGCCTGGTTGCAAGGCATAACACAAATTTGTCGGATTTTAGATTGACAGGATTTGGATGTGTACATAGTCAAGCAGTTCTCATATGGCACGCATAGGGATTTTATAGTGTGCGGTGAATGTGTGGAAAATGCTAGGTTGATGGATGGCGTTCATCGCATTGAAGTGGATGGCTGGGAATCAAGTCTGGTCACTTATGTTCATGTCATGGATGTTAGGAACTTTTTAGTTGCTTCTTAGCAAAAGATGTAATTTTATTAATGGAACTGCATTGCAATGTATACCTATGTGTCTATAAATATACGAGGAGCGATGCTTCCTTTCCGGTGTATTCTCAAGGTCGGACCGTGCTTTTATCAACCTCAGGACCTGAAACTAAAATTCTGATTAAGGTAACAGCCTCAGACTGGGTCTATCTTGACCCGTACCTTGATTCAAGCTCTCATGCGATTTATACCACAAACATGTTGACGCTACGTATAGTAACACCACATAGCCCACGTGTTGAGCAAAGCAAAGCAAATAAAAAGAAAAGTGTTCCAGATTGATAAACAAGAAGTTCAACGTCATTTTTCCAATCGAAGCAGCTACCTCAAATTGAGGTTCTGAGCTCTTGAGAAGCAGTGGATTTAGACTGGTATTACCTACTAAATCTGTCGCGCCGAATCTAACTATAAAAGAAATATACGAAAAAATGACACACTCCCCTGAAATGTACACTGTTTGGGTTGGAAATCCTCTACGTCTGGCCGGGAAATTTAACTTCGTTGAAAATACGGCGGAGGTGTAAGAAAATTCGGTCCCTAACGACACACTGCTCTTTTCACTATGTAAACCATTGCTTGGCATGAGTTGGTGGTTTTGAACGTATGCAGTGATTTCGCACCGAGTATTATCAACGCCCATGATAGTTCCAAAGATCTTTCAATGTCAAGCCCACAACAAACGACCCACTGAAATCGACATCAAAGAAATCAAATAATTCCGAAAAAGTAAGACCCCATTTTATAAGTCCAAACAGCTGAGGTCAATAAATGGTTAGCCGAACCTTATCTAAGGTCAAGGCATATTCAGGCCATAGACTAGCCTTAGGCGGCCAAAACTATTCGTTTCGTGAATTATGCGGGTGTTGTTAATTATTCAGGTAACGATTACTGACGTTGTTATTTGTTATACGGTGGCGTTCATGAAACCTTAAAGCTGCCCTCGAACCGCCCATGTACTCCGCAGAAATGCGAAAACAACCCACGACGAAACAAAACTGATCTGATCATCTGATCCAGTTTCATGTTGTCTGACGGGCTAAACCTTAGATATCGGAACCAGCTTATGGGCTGTGGAATGAGCAGCGCATGTGGTGCTTGCAGGCAAAGTCTGATGCAACAGGCAGCAAAATCCCTAAAAATGGCAAAATTGAACGTATATTTGTTTTGTCTCCAACCGATAAGATTATCTCTGAACGCCGCTGTAGAAAATGGCAGGTCTCAGCTATTCCCGTCCAATGCGACAGCCAGCCTGTAGATCGAAAAATGCTTCAACGGTTCTTGAATGACGTGAGGCGTTCTTCATCCACCAACTTGATTTGTCCCACCTGCTAAAGCTTGAATTGTTGTATGAATCCAAGTTCCTTGCTGTTTTTCTCGGAAGTTCCTGCAGTATTCATTGCTGTCGTTGCACCGACATGGAAATATCACCGACCCACCATGATTTGTTCCCATCGACACGTCCTAAATTGGCTAGCGGAGGCGCAATGCCACACAACACGAGCGGTGTTCCATTCGTGGAGGATTCCGGCCGGGGCTCGCCTGGCTTCGCGACTGAGTGAACAACCAGCAGCCATGCAGGCCGGTAGTGGAAGCCTCGCCTGGCTTCGCGACTGCGTGCACAGCCAGCAGCCATGCAGGCGGGTAGTGGAAGCCCCGCCTGGCTTCGCGGCTGTGTGCACAGCCAGCAGCCATGCAGGCCGGTAGTGGAAGCCCCGCAGGGCTTTGTTGCGCACAAATTGCTACAACCGCGTAACATGTAGCTCTCAGAAGAGCCAAGTTCGATCTTTCAAGCGCGTTCGTCGAACTCCGCAACGGGATAGACTGGAGCTACAGTTAAGTTAGCTGGTGACCGCCTGGAAGTTCTCTCACCGTTTTTCGGCAGACACAGTGCGAGCGCTTGGACGGTGGTAGAAGGGCTCTGACACGCTGCTGACGTCATTACGAGACACCGGGCATTGATTTTGGGTCCCGAAATGCCTCGTTGGGCAACAAAAGAAAGATGCTTGAATAGCGAAGGAGATGCGGATTCCAGCCGTTCGTGTTTCCTCTCACATTTTGGAAATAAGTGAGAAAATGGGTGCACCGGCGTTATGCTACCATTTTAGGAAAGAACATGAAGTATGAATAAACTGACTTGGTCACCTAGTCTTTTCTCTGCATTTCTCGTTTCAGGCGCTTCTGCTTTTCAGCGTGCTCCTAACATCCAGGAACAGGTGGTTTTGGCTTAAAGTTTTATTTTGATTTTACCACGCTCTCGACCTGGGAACTCAATTGTGGATATATTTACACGTGCATAGGTATTTTGCAATACTTCACGCTCGCGTCGTGGGTGGGTGTAGCAATAAAGTAATAAAGTAATAAAGCGTTGCTCAGCGGGATACAATAAGAAAAACTGTCGCGGCACAACGTAACCAACTTCGCCCTACTGGACGTTTGCTATATATTATCGGCCTGCACTTGCAAGGCATTCTTAGACGCGCCGAAATATGTCAGATGACTCGTATAATGAACATGGTTATCGTCTGGTCCTTCCACGCGCTAGTCAAAGTAAAGGTGAGGGCAGGTAAAATGGAGCCATTGTCTTCAAGGTAGCCGGCGGGTCCTTGCATGACGTGTACATACCTAATTCATAGGCACACTGGCTGATAACAGCCTTTACGTTCATGCGAGGATTCCCAACTTTGCGCGAATATTCCAGAGAACGCGGCATCGCGATGTGCATCGGCTTGCCATGTCTTCGTGGGTTAAGTCTTCGGAATGACTGCGTGCCATTTTGTCTATGCGTGCTATTTCAACCAGTGGTATGGCTAATGATACATTATGTTATGGGCTGAATGTCCGGCCGACCGGACGGCGGGGGACAAGGTCACGGCAGGTCACGCCTATTCTCACATAAGGCTAGTTTCCCCTTTGGAATGATTGATGATCCGACCGAGGGCAGTGAAACAGGAGCTCCTTTAGGATGGTGGATGTTGGTTCTCACATTGTTCGGCTATGCCCTCTGCTCCCTCAAGCCGGTGCCCCTGATCTGAAATTTATGTTGTCAGAGGATCTGAAACAAGAAATGGTCGCAATGTCTGAAACAATGTACGAATCATGAGGCTCTTATTTTTTCGCTACATTTTTGTGTTTTATGGTATCAGGAAGTGCAAAAATGCTTTTATGGT